TGATGGCGGTGACCTTTGACCTATGCTCTTTATCTTTCAGAGGAAGATTAAGAGTTGCTGCAGCCACAGGAGCTACATTTCAAATTAAAATTGAATCATTCTTTGGTGTTGTCATGAGAACATCCCAGGAGATGAAGCCTCCAACTTTCCTATTGTATGCAATCAATCTTCTCCATTCATTGCAGAACCTTCTCTATAGTTCTTTTTCTAACATCTTCAGCCTTGCCTTACAAACTTTAACTCCAAAGCTATTGTAAACACTACCTGATACAACCTGGAACTGCCAGCATTTGTCACAGAGATGCTGCTCGAAGAGCTCTTGTTCATATGCAGAGTCTATTCCAGCTGTAATCAACTCTGACGACTTCCTGTATGCACAATAACTTCTTGGTATAATCTCCGTTTAACGTCGGACTGAGCTCCTGTGGGAACATCGTAGTAAAAACTTGAACTTCTACACTGAGTGAATGGGCGATTGTACTCTTTCCTGCAGATTCAAGCCAGACATCCAGATTCTTATGCAGTTGTAAATGCTAACAGTTACTGCTGCACCTGTCAGTGCGTAAATGACTGACATTGTTCTCAGTCATATTCTTGGGATATTCCCATTTAGGTTCGTCAGTGTGCAATGTTAAACTACTTGTTACAACTTCAAGGTTTTTGAAGAATAAATTCCCATTCCTTGAGTTGAATTGCAGCCTTGAATGATAGAATTTTACTTAACTTGAGGTATTTAGGGAGTTTACATCAGCAGGCAACTGACACACTGTAGAATGTGTCAATAAATCACTAATTACTATTACTGTTTAGGTCAGAGGGCTGTGGTGTATATTTCAGCTTCACGTGGCAGACGTCAGACTGGTTTTGGTAAAGTCGCCCCAAACAGGGAGCTTTTACAACTGCGTGACTTTTACAGCCGCTGTGCTTCGATTTCAACAGTGCAGTGTGAAAGTCAACCAAATGAAGGTGTGAAATATTTGGCAGTATCCTTCCAGGATCACCTGGGGGGCAGAGTGGTGCAGTCGTCCATTCTGGCACCAGAAGGCTTTTGGTTCAATACATGTTCCCTGAATCCTAGGTTGGGTAACGTGAGGAAGGCCATCCATCATGGAAAAAAACAAAAAAAATCTCCTGCCAAGCCCTGTGCAGACTATGGCAGTAGTGACGGCAGATTACAGATGAGCCGAGAGCGACTCTGTTCTTCTTCTGCTTCTTCTTCCTCTCAGTGGGACTGAGGTCCCAGGACCGTCCTGGTGTGAAACCATTCCTTCAATAGAGACCTGCCATGTTTTCCAACCATTTACCAGCAAACAGTGATCTTAGCTGATCCACTGTTGACGTGAGCTCTCACATGCCTGGGGTTGGCCATGTGGGGGCAGGGAGACGGTGAAATGAGGCAAATTGCTAGGTCCCCTGAGAGAATGTGCTGGCTAAGAGGATTTCACACATCCTCACCAATGTTGACAGAGTGAAAAAAAAATCTGCATTGTTGTTATTCCCATGGGGTTCATTTACTCTACAGTTGGTGCCTTAACAAGGTATAAGAAGGAGCGGCTGCTACGTTTGAAGTTGGCCCATTTCTGGAGAAAGATTCTATTTCGGGATATCGTCCACTGCTAACACGATAGTACGTCTTTTACTTCAGTATTTCCTATAATTTTGGTCTGAATCTGTCTGCATTTGTGAACAATATAAACACTCATCTTTTAGTCTTCTTCTGCTTCTGTGTAGTAAGCACAGTGTGAGGCCTGAGAGCTTTGGATGTAAACATCTGGACCAGATACTAAATCCCCCGCACTCCCTCTTTACTCCCCCCTTCTATATCTCCCACAGCACGTAATAAAGACAGACCGTCTCCCTCAACCCTGCGCTTACAATAACAACTGCCTGCTTTTAAAACAACGAGCTGTTAAACTGGTGACGACGCACTCACCCACAGAACACATAGCTGTATTCAGAGGAGCGGGGACGTAGCGGTGAAAGGCTCTGACGTGGGTTTCCATTCACACGCTGACTCTTCAGACCTGTCTGGAGGTGTGTCCGTGGCATTTATGAGTCAAGTCAGTGACGGATTCCCTCTGAATAATTGCACACTGCATGGCAGCACTCCTGGAGTACTTCAAACTGCCTATTTTTACTACTGCAGGTGTCTGGAGGTTTACAGTTATCCTGGAGTTGAGGGGAAAGTGAAAGTCACACTCAGAGCTCACTGGTTCTATAACTGGCTCAGAATAAAGGTTTGTCAAAACTATTAACTTATGTAATGATGGAAATAACCAAGTGCTCCAGTTTGGTTCAAATAAATAATTCCTCGTCTCTCCATATATATATGGCAGGATAGTGCGAAATCCTGAATTTTTCTGTTTTGTGAGAAGGATTTACATACAGATACTTAAGAAGGTAGTTTAAAACCCCAAAAATAACATATTACATTACATATTTTCATTTGTAAAGAAATGGACAACATTATGGGCTAGTTTAAAAAAAAGATCAGATAGGATAAAAAAAAAGCCTTGACACCAGATTTCTGATGCATAGGTTAAAAAAGCCTTGACCCCAGATTTCTGATGCATAGGTTAAAAAAATGTCTATTTGACACAGAACCAAGTCACCAGCTCATGTACTGGACGCAGAGTCATTGGAAAGTCCATGCAGATGTATTTAAAACGATTAAAAATTCCCATAAATTACTGAATGGTAAAATAAACTTTTTGCTCTTTTCTTATCTGTGGTGCAGTAATAACAGCTTCAGGATTAGCTGTGGCTGCTGTGCTTCCTCTGGCACAGGAGAGCAGCAGTGATAGGAGGATGGAATCAGGTCATAAATATTTGCAGTTAATTATCAGACTGTCTCTGAGGAAGCTGCAGCTCCTGTGTCAGCGGAGTTTCCAGCAGGACAGTAATCCCAGGTGTCAACCAGACCTGTCTTTGACGACAGAGGAGTTCAGAGTTTCTTTAATCTGACTGGAAATCCCAAACGTGAGAAAGTTCATATAATGGAGGAGAGGTTTGGAGTTTGGTCAGAGATTTAAGGTCAGACTATGATTCCAAATCCACATGTGTCTGTGTGCTCTTTGAAGATCGCTGCTTCAGTAAATTCCGTCTGCCAAAGCACGACCTGCGCCGCACCAACCCTAAACTGTTTCTGGACAAAACCACAACATTTTCGCCGCCTTTTCTGCAGCTGCGTCTCACACACGACAGCGACGACTCCATGTTGTTTCAGTAGCATTTCCCTTTTTAAGTCAAGTGCTGTCCTGAGGTGTCGTGGCCAGCAGTGATTTATTTCAGGGCTTTTAACGCTGGATAACCGTAACTGGGCTGATTTTTAGATATCCACTAGTGTCTTCCGGCCCTGTCAGCATTCCACTGCTCTTAAGTGTGATGAACACTGACCTCCCCCCACGCGCCACCCCTCACCCTGCACCTCAGCTGTCCACGCCATTTGTCTGTGTTCTAATTGACAGAGAAAAATGTGCAAACTGTGAAAGTGTTTATAGAGAAAACAAATCTGTGTTGGGGAGTAGTCGTGGTTTGGGCCTTCTTCTCCACACCAGAGCTGTCACTTACTGGTAATATTTTGAATATCTTATTAAATCTGCAGAGGAAATGTCAGATTTATGCTGTCCCCTCAAACTGACTGAAGTACTTACAGCTGCAGTACACTGTACGTACACTGCAGCGTACTTAATGTGCAGCAAGACTTTGGCTCCTGTTTAGGAAAAACAGTGATGTTCTGTGGTTAGCAACCAGGCTAAAGCTCAAGAGTCCTTAATGGACCAGACGAACATCAAACTTCTGCAAGTGATGTATTAGCAGCACTACACTGTTGAACACAGGGTGGCAGGGCTGTTAGCTGTTAGCAAGCAAGTTCAACACAGAGTATAAAAAGTGGTGTCGTTTTTAGTTCTGGACCTTTATACTCTTAGACTTCTATCCAACATGATGCTGCTGGAAAAGGTTTGTTTGGCTGTTAGCAAGAAAGCTAAGAGAGTTGACAGATGCAGCATCACGGTGTCTGAAAAGCTGCAGAAAAACAGCACTCCTGACTTGACAGATGTAGCATCACGGTGTCTGAAAAGCTGCAGAGTTTAACAGATGATCAAGAATGAAGGAAAACCAGGGCTATCAACCATAGCAACGATGAGAGAACAACAGTCGAATTATTGGACATACAACATGCCTCGTTCTGCCTGTGTCTTAAAATGTATTACATATTTAAATCAGATTGATTTCAGAAAAAAAATACATGTCCTACAAAGTTACAACTAAGTCGTAACTAGGTTATTAATAATAACCACATTCCTCGTTCTTTGTTTTAATTTACTTCCTGTCTCGTTGCGGTCACAGGAAATAGTCCTAACTCTCTAGTTTCATTAAGGAAAACTTCCTGAGGAGAGGAAAAACAGGAGCAAACAATCATCTGAAAGTCTGCTCAAATGTTTGTGTGGCTTTTTTTTAAACTGAAGGTATGTGAGAAAACCAAGTCAAACATCCGGCTATTTGTGGCCTGCCTTGATAAGAGGTGTTTCCTTCAGGACCCATTGTCCGGAGCAGGAGAGTTTGTATTATTGGAAGGTTCAAAATTAGGATGCTATTACCGTCTGGAGGCCGCCATCAGAGTGGAACAGGGCACAGATGTGGGGTTACGGGTCAATGTGCAGAATGGGTTAATGTGGAACCCTCCGCATCAGGGCGAGGACATACACTACTGTCCACTCTGATGACATCACTGCAGCATCCTGTATGGTACACAGACATTCCCAGTGTCTCTGACTCCTCCCTCTCCTGACAGCAGTCGCTCCATTTGTGCGATTTCCATGACAGGATTTCCATGCATTGCACACAATCCGATCATTATCACGAGGGCTGATGTAATGTGGTGACATCACTACAGTGTTTGTTGTAAGATTAACCCCAGGGATGATGCAATTTTGATGTGTATAAAAGCTGCTCCTCTGGGACCTTTGACCTCACCCTTTTGTCCCTCTGCCCTGCAGCTGAAAAGGTGTCCTCGCTGGGTAAAGACTGGCACAAGTTGTGTCTGAAGTGCGACCGATGCAACAAGCTGCTCAACGCCGGAGGTCACGCTGAGGTCAGTGAGACATCACGAGTAACAGTCACAGGGAGCTGCTGTCTTTCAAACACTGAGGTCACTAACATGTGACACTGAGCCTCGTCTCATCTTCTGTCAAGTGTTCGTGTCGTCGTTTCTTAAACCAGCAACGAGTGAATTAGAATGAAGACCAAGAACATTTCCTTTTTTAAAATCGATATTTTTGATTTTACAAATCATTAATTGTCCAGTAATCTCATTGTTAGAATAATCATTCGTTTCCATCAGTGTTGTCATCAGCTCTGCACTGACATTATTAAGAATCCTGGATTAGCTTTAAACTATATTTTTATCTCTCTCTCTGTTGTCACTTGGCTAACTTTAAATGATCTTTTATGACCTTGCCTCGAATTATAGCGACATTTTATTATTATATCTGTAGCCATTTCTTTAGAAGGGACTACAATTGGCTACAAAATTGGGCCTTTAGCTACAAAAGCTTCTAGAATCTTCTCAGTGGTAAAGAGCCCCTCCTGCCTGTACAAATACAACCACACAGACTCGCACTTGCATACAAAGTAGTGACAATCATTGCCTGAGGTTTTAGGTCACTTGCTGCTGAGGCCTTTCATGCTAACACTCTGTTCCTGTGTAATGGCTTTAGTCACGCTTCCCTAAAATGACCTTTTTTTTCTCCCTATTATTTCTCCAAACTTTAGTCAAAATCGCTTCATTGTATTCTGGAATCAGCTGACGATAATAAACGATGGTTTAGAAAATGGAGGGGGGGGGGGCAGGAGCGGAAGCTGGTGCTTTTATAGGGGATGGAAAATTGACATTTATTACAGTTATAAAGTACGCAGGTTAAATACATTATTGAAAATCCGTATGTGCAAAGAAATATCACAGAGGATATGGAATTATAGAAATTCTATTTAAACCAGAATTTTACTGCCCAGGAAATCACTGAGCGCACATCCTTTTCCTGCCTGGTAGCATCTGTCAATGTGAGTTTTCCATGTGGGAATTTCAACTCCCTGAACTTTACAGGATCAGCTAGTTTCATATCCTCTTTTTTTTTTTCTTTGTTGCATGATCAAAGTGCAGAATAACGTTCTTGAACAAAAAGACCCTCGGCTCCTCGGGCTGTGACACTCGGCCAACCACTGCTCACTATCTGACACACTGTCACCCTGGGCCTTTCCTTATCCCACTCCTTTTATTTGGCCTTCCGTGACCCTGTCGTTGATACGGTCTGTGGTTGATTATGATTCACACTCCTCTTTGAGTCTGTGCTCTGCTCAGGGAGGATGTGATCTCAGCCTCTTTGTACACAAAGGCAGTTTCCCAAAGGATGCAGCCGCTGGTTAATTTCGGCACCATTACAGCCACATCGTGACAAAATCTCTTTGAGGTTCTCTGCACCACCATCCTGTCCCCAAGTCTACGTCTGTGGATCGCATCCAAGTCCTCATCAAGTCCTGACTTCAGCTGATAAAACTCCATGATCATGGAAGGAGAACGAGACTCGGAGACATAACATAAATCATAAAGTATGACCTGACAGTCTGCTGTGTTTGATCTAATCTACAGTCTGGTATGCAGACTGTAATGGCTGCCCTCTAACACTGATTTAGTAGGGAGGGTTTTCTATGGGGCCAAGGAAAGGAAGTAGCTTAAAGAAGGTGTTGGCTGAAATCTAGGATGGAAAGGACAAGGAAGCAAGGCTGAGTGAAGGGGGTAAAAAAAAAATCCAAGGGGATTGATGCCTGGTTCTTAGGACAGTAGCTTAATTGGTTTGATTGTGTTGACTAGCTTAGCTAACCCTAGAAAGCTACAACAAAAATAATGAATGAGGTTTGTATGTCTGTCCAAGGTCAACAACAGGCCCCTATGCCAGAGTTTGGACAGGTGTGCCCTAAATGCTCCTGACTGTTCATTTCCAGACCTAATTGCTAGGACACTGTTGGACATGAATTCATTATTAATTTGCCTAAAGGACAATGTAGACGACCTGCTCATGTTTGTGTTTCTTAAATATTGTTATGAGGCTTTAGACTATGAGATTAGAGTTATGTCAACCCTGTGAAATATGTTAGGCTTTGTTTGTAATTCTTTTGGTTTAATATTCGTGAGAATTAATCACTTTCTTAACCCTGATGTTAAGTATTCCCTACTGTAGAGCAGAACAGTAGGTAGAAAGATCCAGCTCAGTTGACACCTCTGCAGTTTCCTTTGTAAGGTGTGAGTGGGCGTCTGGTCCCTGGGGGCAGTAACGAGCCTACCACATGTAAAAGGAATTGTGCTTGAAAGGAGTGAAACGTTATTTTTGGGTCATTTTAGCTAATCCACAGAACGAACGTCTCGGAAAAACCAGGCTCAAAAAAAGTTTCAGGTGGGGAAAGATGTTGTTAAAAAAAAGTCAAAAGCATCAAGAAACAACCAGGATAGAACATAAAGACGAATGGATGGACAGAAGTAGGATGGAAAAGACAGATCTGATGTGGGGAGAGAGTGGGCGGTGCCACAGGGATGGATAATCCATTTTAACAGCCAGACACTTCAGTGATACTGTCCTGTATGAACCTCACAATGGAGCTCTGTGTGTCCCGTCCTGAGAAAGTCATCAGCCCTCAGTCAGGGCTCAGCATCTCCTCCGAAAACTTTATACCTCTCATGAGTCCAAGTCCATAATTACTCAAAGTGAGTGAACAATCAGCTTCTGTAACCAGGGGTTGGACCAACAAGGACCACACCCACATTAGATATTTCTCATGTCTTCAGCCAGTGGTGGACCCACTAGACAGAATTATGACCTTATTTTGGGCTGAGACAGACTCACTCCCAATGCAAGAAATCCAGTTTTTAAAGTGTCCACTAGGGGTCCTCATTGACGTGAGGGGTAAGATTTCCACACCTAGTTACAGACCTCGGTTTCCATCAGGTGTACCATGGAAACCACGTTCACACACTGAGTTAACGTCTACAGAAAGGTGTTGATGACTTCATCATCATTTATACAGATGATGTTTTTATGATGTGCTGGAGGAACATGTGATGATGACATCATCCTGACATGATCCTCATCTGGGAAAACCACCGTTCACTCCATATTTAGACACATTTACCAACTGTTCTGTTTGAAATCCAGAACAAAGCTCCAGTAATATTTGTCACGGGACTGTAGCAAATGTATGTGACCTAACCTCTCAGTGTCGTTTGACCTGTGCGTGATGTTTTTCTATCTCCCACAGCACGATGGAAGACCATACTGCCACAAACCCTGCTATGCTGCCCTCTTCGGGCCGAAAGGTGAAGTGCATGTACATCTATTCTTAGAATACGTCTCCACAAGATGTGTATGGACAAGGCAAAAATAATACGCTTTTTAAAAATACCTATACATTTTGCTCTCATTTATTTAAAATGCTATTGTGTACGAATATAGTATTAGTATTAGTATTCACGTTTTGATATTCTTTCTGTTTTACATGATTAGCTGCGTAGTTCTGATTTTTTTTTTTTTTTGACTATTCATGCATGTCATTTTTCAGGAATTACCACTGTCAGTTAAAAGAGTTCATTGTTTTAAAAAAAACTATTTCAGGTGTGAACATCGGAGGAGCCGGCTCTTACGTGTACGACGCCCCAGCCAACAACAACTCTGCTGTGGATTCGGTGGCCAAATCCGAGGAGAAGAGAGTGTACGCACCGAAGGCGCCATCTAAAGGTGAGCGTCAGACATGCGCGTGTGCATCCAAACAATTTAGAGTTTACATCACTAAGTGATCAAATGTGAAATCAGGATTTTATTCCCCTGATAAGATGTAGAGTTTTTGCCAACATCAGTCAGTAGAAGGGCTGCCGCTGAGTCAGTGAGAAAACCACTGAGCTGCAAAGCCTTTTGGGAAAAAAGGAGGGTTTTCTAGTCAGAAGTAGTGGACTGACAATTTCTAGGGACACACAAACATCCATTAACACTGTCAGACACAGTTAAACAGCAAATAATCTGTTCATTTCAGGATGAATGATATTGCAGCCACCTCAGCTGTATTCTATAGTTTGGTGACATCTGCTGCCAAAAATGCACATCATCAAACTCAAAAGCTTTTACTGTTTGTCAATTTTCGAGTTATGTTTCGAGCTAACACGTGTTTTTCAACCCAGCTGGAAGTGTCACCACATTCTCTGGAGAGGCCAACCTGTGTCCTCGCTGCAACAAGAAGGTGTATTTTGGTAAGAAAAAAAAAGGGACAGAATTGTGTGAAACCTACAAAACATTGTGTGTCTCACATTCATCTATTTGTGTGTGTGTGTGTGTGTGTGTGACACTGCTGCTTCGAAGGTGACATCACTGGGCAAGGACTGGCATCGACCCTGTCTGCGCTGTGAGAGGTGCAGCAAGACTCTGTCTGCTGGAGGTCACGCAGAGGTGAGACACAGTTTGAAGCATTAAATGAGTATTTTGTAGAGCGCAGACTAGTTTGACCAGATTTGTCCTTGTCTTGGATTTTTGACATATTTAGATAAATCAAACATTTGTCAACTATTAAAAACCTGAATGTATCTTTCCAAATGTGAAGAGTTATTATCTGACCAAGTAAAAAAATTAATTAATACTGTCCTGTGTTGTTCCAGCATGATGGCCAACCCTACTGCCACAAGCCCTGCTATGCTATCCTGTTTGGGCCCAAAGGTAACCGCTAGGTGGTGCTGTCCGCCAACTCATTCACTCTCTGCTCTGCTACACTTGAACCTGAATGTCTTACTGTAACCAGGACTCGGTCCAGGCTGCACGTGTCTGTGTCACAGCAGCTTTGTCTGCAGCTTCTCCTGCTCATGTTCCTCCTCCTTCTCCCCTCACCTCTCTGACTCCCACTGCTGTGTGTTTTCTCCAGGCGTGAACACTGGTGGTGTGGGCAGCTACATCTACGAGAAGGAGCCCAGTGCAGTGACCCAGCCTTGAACCTTTGTCCTTCAAACCCTCTAAGCTCCACCCTTCTTCTCTCCAAACATCACCGACCATCAGACCCAGTATTACTCCACTCTCTCCTTCTCCAAACCCTGAGCTCAATCCTGAGACCACCACCAGATCCTCCTAAAGCCCCCTGCTTCTCCCAGCCTTTACAGATCACATGACTCATTCCTGCATTGGTTTGTCAGATAATGTGCTTTTCTAGGTAAACAAGACAACTTTTTATTTAATGACAGGTGTCAAACCACATTACACATTTTACACCATTGCATCAGTGTAGACTAAAGCAATAAGAATTTATAAGTTTAATATTTTCACAGAGTAAAGTGTCAGAGGAAATTGAAAATATATTCATAGACAGTGTAAAAAAAATGGATGCAGCCATCTGGTTGCATGACATTGTTGCAAAGCCTCGTGATGCATGAACACATTTTGGACTGGAGTTGTGAAAAAAAATAGTCAATAACATGAAAAATAAATAATAAAAGTAATTCCTGATAATACTGTTTTGTTGGAAACATTTGGGGACATGAGTATGCATGAAAACTTTGTTAAACATTTCTAAATCCTGAATGAAAAAAAAAAGATTTGCGAAAAAAACAGTATTAGTTGCATGCCATTTAAAAATAATGCTTTCCTTTGTGTTTTTGTAAAATCACCAAGATAAAATCGGAAAATACTGGCAGAGCACAGACAAATATGTTAAGTGCCACAGTGCCTCCTAGTGGTCATACTGCGTCTCGTTTATCATGCAGGAGTTGACGGTCCTCTGATTTGTGAAGTTCTACAGAGGTAAATCAGCACCGTTCGAGTTTATCCTGAACTTTGCAACATTCCAAGCTTCGTCTTTTGAAACCAGACGACTGTATCCATTTTATTAATATAAATCTGTTGTTCTGGAAGAACTCCATCATCATAAGTGGTCTTTGTTTTTGCCTATAGTACTGAGTTAAAAAGATTTGTACTTTAATTTCTTTAAAAAAAAACGATTTTATAGAAAAAAATTAGAATACAGATATTTGTTAAGCTAATCAATTACTTAATATTTCTTATCCCACTTTTTGTTTGATATCGTATGGGATAAACTTGCATTTTTTTTGCTTTGGTTCAAGTCCATCAAATGTCATTATTCACTGCTTCTCTACCTGTTCCCGCAACACCGTGACGTCAACTGTTCTTGTTATTGTACACAGAAATAACCCTGTTGTTACGATGTACTTTCTTTTTCAAAAGATGGCGCTTTACATAAAGTATTACATGTAAAAAAGGTTTTTCTTCGGCCATTAGCAGTAGCTTAGCTCACAGAAACAGAGAGGAAGACGCTGCAGACAAGTCATTCTGTAAGAATGTGCATTCTAGTGTTCTTATTGTAATTATTGTTATTCTTCTGACTGTTACTGTGCTTGTTGTTGTTGACCTGTTGTACTGACGGCAGGGCTCACTGTTTGTAGAACTGCACTTCCGCCCTGCTGCTGCTGTCTTTTTAATCCTTTAAATAAAGATTTCAGAAACTCTTCCCGGTCTGCGTCACTGGTGTTAAATATTGGACTGATACGGGTACGTTCTTCTTATCTTTAAACCTGTTTTTTCCTGATATTTTGTAACGCCGACAACAGCAACAACAAAACCAAGGAAAATGTGTTACTATAGTGTCCGTTCGTCACACGTCACAAAACCATTTCCTGTTATCAACCGGAAATTATGAAATAAAAGCATGAGGCGCAGCGAACTAATTAAAACAAAACATCTGAATGAATAACTCCTTATTCTTGTTAGAAAACAGCAACAATAATGCACCATTATAAATGGCGCTTTCGCCAATGAACGGCCAAGAACATACAAATGTGAGATGATTTGGTGGGTTTCGACCATTGTAATAGAAACAAATATTTAGAACTAAAGGGCAAACTTTTTGGCTCGCGGGCCAAAATCAGGTTCAAAATCTGACCAGCGGACCAGTTCAGTATTGGTTAGATGTAAAATGTTTGGGCAAAAATAATAAACAGATTCCTGTGTTTTAGTGAACTGCATTTGCTGGGGTCACGGTAGGTTCACATGTGAAGATATTTTATTTAAATTTAAATGATATTGAGACAAAAGCCTTTTTTAAAAAGCCAAGAATTATTCAAATAAGAAATGAAATTTGTCATTTTCTTGAAGAATCTCAAAATGAAGGCGTCTAAGCGCTGTTAATAGAGGTGTACAGCACTATAACACTGTATGGTGTAACTAAGCACTATAATACACACGGTAAACAGTTATTTGAACGAGGCCCAGATTTAAATTTAAATTCGCATCACAGTTTTTCACAAGAGCATTCAAGTTGTGTTTATAGCCCCCCACATTTATGACTGTAGTTAGACCTCTGTATGACAATAAAAAACATTTTCTTTTTATACATCACATTCAGTTTTGACTTCCAAAAGTTTTGTTCTCATGGCTCGTTGGTCTAGGGGTATGATTCTCGCTTTGGGTGCGAGAGGTCCCGGGTTCAAATCCCGGACGAGCCCATTATCTTTAGAACATTGTTTTGTCCGGTCATTTGTTCAGGCACAAACACTACCTCGGTTTTCAAATTACGGGCCACTAAGTGTCACAATTTATACAGAACGTCCGGTAATTTGTACTGTTTTATCTTTTCACTTTGTTCAACTACAATAACGGTCTAAGTCCGAAACAATCGATAGCTCGTGACATGGGCGGGGCTTAACAATAGTCCCATCCACAAAAGGGAACAACTGTAAGTATAACTGCAGAATTAACGACTGTCAGCACACATTCAACCACAACCATCCTATACTGACGGTGTGTGTGTGTGTGTGTGTGAAGTGAAACAGAGACGCGACATTTCCTTGAATGAGTGTCGGTGGTTAAATAAATGAGTTCATCTCTGTTTCACCCCAACTGCCTCCACACTTTTATACGTGCTGTAGTTTATAAAGGCGAGAAAAAGAAAATTCAGGATACTTGTACTTAGGATGTATACGTTCTCAACCACTGGAGGGCGCTAACAAGTATGATTATTTTCACGTGTAGCTATAAGAACGCCAACTAAAGCTGTCATTTATGACCTCAACTCTCACCGTTTTAGAGTTACCCTGCATGACTCCATATAGATGGGCGTCAACGGATATAAATAACACTTCACGAGTACACGGTACCTACCTTAGGTACACAATGATTTATGGGAGGATACTATACGAACAGGTTTTCTGTTAATCTATAAACGTATGAGGACGTCTGAGAACTAAACACATTATTTACCACAATTTTTAATGAATCTGTTAGGGGAAAAAAAATCTGGTTTGTTCTACCAAACCCAATAGGAAGTCAGTGATTTTGAAGACACATTGTATGGATAATATGACGCTGCTGCTGTGAAGCCAGATGCTCAAATATTCTGGTAGATGAACAGAGGGAAATGACGTCTACAAGATGAAGACATGAATAAGACTTAATTGCGCAGAAGGTGAAAACATTGTGTGATAAAAAACTACTATAAAAACACGGTCTACAAAATGAAGACATGAATAAGACTTAATTGAGCAGAAGGTGAAAACGTGTGATAAAAAACTACTATAAAAACACAGAAAATCAGATTGAGCCACGATCACATACACAGTAACCGCCAGAGGGAGACAGAGAGTAAAACGGAGGACTAATTCGGCAAAACATCTTTGTGCAGAGCAGACTGACTGCAGGTGTGAGGTAAGAATTACAGAGTGAGGGTCTGCACTGACAGTCAGACCACCGCTCCTCACCTCACACGTCAATCACATGATTGACAGCAGGAACAACAGCTACTGCTGCATGGTTTCACTCTGACGTGCCTGGAGTTTCACTCCATACAGGTATGGTAGCATTACTCCCTGACACACACACAAACACTGACAAACACACACACACAGATTATTACATCATGTTATTATCCTCCTACGTTTGAACACTTGTTGGCCTGGATACCAAACAGACTGCACTGATATGTATTTGACATAGTTTTCAGTCCTGAGGTCACAGAATCACATGACCTTCTGTGACCTGAGGATTTTTTTCCCTCAGTAAAAACATTTTTGCTCTTCTCACATATCCTCCATGACCTAAAGATTTTCTACTGATGTACAAATTGTAAAAGTAAGACTCAATGATAACCTTTTTTTTAAAAATTTGAGCCATAAAATAACAACAGGATCGTAACTGGTCACTTCTGACCACCTCACATATCGGAGCAGTAGCGTGACTTCACCTCAGCTTGGTAAAAACTTCTTTAAACTTGTCTTCCTTGTGGTATTTTGAGTATTTTTTTTAAATGAGCCACAGAGGGAAATTCCACTGATTTGTAAATTTATCAGCTTGAATGTTTTAGATAAACTTCAGGGGAGGTCGCCACAACGTCCCTTCCACAAGGGGGGGTTGGTGCTGCAGAAAAACGTTCCAGAACCACAGGCTTAAAACAATTAAATGTGTCATTTTACATATTAAAAACAGACAAGTGTTTTCTACTGAAACACTTGAAATAACAGTGTTTATCTTTACACTTTCTGGAAGGATGCCCCAGACACGCACACACACACACACACACAAGTCAAAGGTCAAACCCACTGCTACCCTCCTATATTACAACATTACATTCAAATGAAGCATCTTGATAGATAATAACCAGAAACTGTGTTTGTGTAAGTATAGTTTCATTTAATTAATAACAGGAAAGCTGTTGATCATTATTATTATTAATCAACATTCCCAAATTCTTTTCCTGTAAATTGCTGGAACAACAGCAGAAACTGTTGATGCATTTGTTCCACACCTGTTTTTATTTGTGACTAAAACAAATAACTGAATTATTCAAATGACGACAGCAGTGAGTTTTTCCAGGTTTTCCCCTCTTTTTGCTCCTCTCATGTGAGAGTGCGATTGGCTGCAGGTGTGTGATCGAGGTGTGTTGTGCCAGCTGATTGGTTCACTGCTGATGGCTCCAACTTTAGGAAGCCAGATTCTACCAAACTGTCTGTGTTTTTGTCGAAATGCACACTCTCTCTGCCGTTGTCATTGTACGCAGCTTCTTCTAGGTGTGGATGTAACAATGGAAACATGTCAACAAAAATCATGGACAACTAAAACTCAGAAATCTCCTGCACAGAGTTGACGATACTAGTCACTGATCTGTATCCTGGCGTTGGCTCACAGAGGAGAGTGGAGAGTTTTCTTTTTAACCATCTGTGAAGCCACGTCCACAACAATATTCATCAGTCTACAGTTCCATTTCATCCATTTGGCTGCAGTCTTACTGTATTTACTGGTCTGTGTTCACACTGAGGCTGGACCGACAAACCAGACATCTGGCCTGACTCTGAAACCTCCACAAACACATCCTGTACATTGAGATGGTATTTAAGCTGCTTTGTTTAAAAGAAAAAAAAAGGTCTGTGTGTAAATAACAATGTATGCACCAACTGTGTATTAGAGTATGGCAAAGTATTCAGGTAGAAAACAAATAAAATTAAGAAAAAAATAAAAATAAGATTAAAGAAAAACTGAGAAACGTGGAGAATCTTGTAGAATTATACTGCAATTTGGGGTTCTCAAATAAGGAGAAAAAACTGAAAAACGTGGAGAATCTTGTAGAATTATACTGCAATTTGGGGTTCTCAAATAAGGAGATACTTCATATTCTGGCTCTTCAGCCTCACGTCGTAATAAGCAACAGGACACTTTAAGGGTCCACATGGATCTGGGTTAGGTTTGTGACTCCACCAAACCTCTGTTTTTCACCAAGATAAACAGCATTGATTAGATATTGGAGGAGAAGTGGTTTAAAGAAAATGTGTTTTTTAAACGGGATCAAAAACACAGAGTTCAGGACCTCAGGATTTGCTCTACTCTGCCTTCAAATACACTTCTCTGTGTACAGCTGACCTGTTTGACCTTCATTATCCCAGTGTTTGTCTGGTGATGATAACAGCACAGCTCTGTGTTGTCATCTTGAGCCTTGTCCACTGTTTTGTGCTCCACTCCCTGCTGCAGCAGCCAGTCATAAATTGAGGCGCCTTATGATAATTAGTCCTGTACAGACTCTGGTGAGGAGAGAACCCTGTAATCATCATTCTTCCTAACGGCCACTGACCTAACCTGATTTTACACGCACACTACACACACTAGTGTTGGTTGCATATGGGTTAGGAAATGTAAACATTCAATCTCACACATTCAGAGACTCTGAAGACTCCAGTCCTAAGACCAAGTATCTAAACTCCAGAACTGCCCTGCTGCCCTGACGGCCCCCACTTCACCCCACAGCACAGGTGAGCCATGGTCTGCTGTTTCACACCAACTACAACTGTAGCCCCAAGACCTGAAACCATGGCAGTCTGCCACCGTCTGGGCCTGGAGCCAGAACCTCCCACCTCCTGTCGCTCAGTTCTCCTCTCTCCCACTCGTTTCTCTGGACCCACAAAGGTACAGACACTGGTCACAGACAGTAAAGATGAAGCTGAACGTTCTGGTTCCACCATACTGGTG